TAATATTGGTTTTTCAAATTTGCGTAACGATCTTCAAGCCAATAAAATTTAATTTTTGCGTGATATCTGGAAGGGAGTTCGTCACATAATTTAGCCAATGAAATCAAATGTCCACTATGCTCTGCTAACTATATATTATTGATGAAATATTTGGCGCAGAAATTGACATATACTAAAATTGGTACAACGTTAATCTAAAAATAAACCTCACTTTTTTACTCCAAATGAGCGAATTTATTAAAAAAACAGAAATATACAATATTGCCGAGAGAAGAAATTACACACCAAACTATGCTTCTAATGACTATCACAAGGGTTTTTTTAATACCGACATTCCAATAATAATTGATAATGGTGCGTGTTTTGAATTTTGAATTGGAATTTACTGACTTATTTATTCACAAGATCTTAAGAAACGCAATTTTGTTTACATAGTGCATTAATATAATTTTCTAAAAAGATTTCTGATGATTTTAGGTTCATATCAATGTCGTGTTGGTTGGGCAACTGATGATTCACCTAGATGTAGGAAATTTTTTGATTTTTGATTTTTTAGAAATTTGATTTGTTTATGATTTCCACAAAAAAAAAATATATTTTATTTTTGTTTTTAGTACAATTTGATAACCTAGTATCAAAATTTAGGGATCGTAAAATCAATAAAAGTGTTTTGTTTGTGGGAAATGATGTTTATACAGATGCAACAGCAAAGGCTAGTGCAAAGTCACCATTTGATGGAAATGTAGTTTATAATTTTGAGACAATGGTATGTTAAATAGTCATTGATTATAGTTAACTTGCATGTTTATATAAACTTAAATATATATCATAATGAACATTATATCAAATAAGATTTACACATTTATTTAGGAGTATATTTTAGATTATATTTTCGTTAAATTGGGTATTGATACTGATCAAGTATATAATCCCATTTTGATGACAGAACCTGTTTGTAATCCAAATTATTCAAGAAAAAGTATGTGCCTTTTATTTTTATTTTACATCATTTTTTGGTTTTTTTTTTCATTTTTGTTCATTTTTATTTTCAATGTATTAACAAAATATATTACATGTATTTATAGTGATGAATGAGTTATTATTTGAATGTTATCGAATACCATCAGTTTGCTATGGAATTGATGCACTATTTAGTTTTCATGCCAATGGGTTGTCATTTGATGAGGGTGGTGTGGTAATTTCTTCTGGTCATACTTCTACACATGTTATACCTATCATTGGTGGCCATGCTGTTTCTGAACATATTAAAAGGTATGTTTTGTTGACAATGAAATAATTATAAAAAAACCATTTTAAATGAATAATGTAATGATGATGATAAAAATAACACTGGAATATTTTTAGGATATCTTATGGTGGTTCAACATCAACTGATTATATGCTAAAATTAATGCAACTTAAATATCCAACATTTCCAACAAAAATGACAATCAATCAAGCACAGGTTAATATCCAATCAATCAATCAAATTTATTCAATTATTATTTAAAATCATCTAATTAATTTATTATTATAATCACTCAGTATCTTGTTCATAATTACACTAAAGTTGCACAAGATTATTTTCAAGAATTGAATGAATACACAGACCCAAAATCATTTGCTGAAAAAGATCAAGTCATTCAATTTCCTTATGTCCCTCCTGTGTGTAACACCATAAACATCATTATTAATGTGAAATCAATTAATTGATTTAGAAAATTAATTTATATTTATTCTTTTTTAAAAATAAATAGTCAAATGAAAAAACAGAAGAAGAATTGACTAGAGCTGAAGAAAGAAAACAGGAACAAGCACGTCGTTTAAAAGAACAAGCAACAAAACTACGTATGCAAAAAGTACTTAATTTTTAATTTAACTTACTATTTGTATTGTGTATTATTTGTTAAATGATCAAAATTTTTTTAATATCAAAAAAATTATTATTATTGTCATTTAGTTAAAAGATTTAGAGGATACATTAGATTTTTATTTATCATTAAGAAGTAGAAAATCCACTCTAAAAAAAGCAGATTTCTTGGTAAATAATAATATTTTTTTTTGTGTTTTTATTAATCAATAATTATATTTTATATTTTGTTTGTTTAGGCACATTTAAAAGAAAATAGAATGAGTGATGAGACAGAATTGGATGATATTATTCAAAAAACTGAGAAGGCAGTTCAAAGAGCAAGAAATAAGTTACTTGGAATTGATGAAGTTGAAATTAAGGTTTATTATTTTTTTTAAATTTTCACAAATCTATTGATACACTTAACAATTGATTGATTGATTATAGGAAGAACCCACTTTCCAACTAGTTGATATACCAGATGATCAATTAAATGAAGTGGAAAGAAAAGAAAAAAAGAAACAACTTGCTGCAAAAAGCCTTTATGAATCTCGTCAAAGACAACGAGAAGCTAAAGAATTGGCTAAAAAGCAACAAGTTAATAAAAATACCATTATTATAGATTACTATCACTAGGATTTTGTTTAAATCAAATATAAATATAAATATATATTATATTATTTCCTAAATAGGAAGCAGAAGAACGTATGGAGGAGGATAGAAGACAAAAAGATTTTGATGGATGGTTAGAAGAAGTAAAAAAAAATTATGAGGTGTGTATATATATTTAATTTTGATTTTGATAACAATCATTATATATATAAGCTTTTCAATTTTTATTATATATATACATATAGAAACAATTAGAAAAGGTTAAAACATTAAAACGTAAAAAAGAGCAACTTTCAGATCGTAGGAGTCATGCTTCACAATTAAGAATGAAATCAATTGCTAATTTGGCAAGTGATGCTCCACAACAAAAAAAGAAACGTAGAGGTCAAGATGGTAAAATGTTTCATTTTTGTTATTTATTTTTTTTTGTAATTATAAATTATTGTATTATTTATTATTATTATTTTTAATTTTATTATTTTTAGAGGATACTTTTGGTATGGATGATAATGATTGGTCTATTTATAAGGAAATAGTAAGTTGTATAGATTTTTAAATTTATTTTTTTCATTGCAATTCATAAAAAAAAAATTTATTTATATTAGAGTAGAGAAGATGATGCATGGGAAGAGGAGGAGGAACTTACACAATTACGAGAATATGAAACCAAACTTCTTCAATATGACAAAACTTTCTCACAAGAAAATACCTATGATGTGAAAAATTCTAACCAAAAATCATTGATTTTCATGTTTACCCATGGTGTTTCACCACCTTATGACCCAGAAGATTTTGCTCAAATGCATCAATTACATCTTAACATTGAACAGATCAGAGTACCAGAAGCATTATTTCAACCTAGTATTTTGGGACTTGATCAAGCTGGATTGGTTGAAACTGTTGGTGATATTGTGAATAGATTTAATGCAGAAGATAGGAATAAGATGATAAAAGTAAATAATAATAGATAACAATAAAAGTAATGACAACATTAATAATAATAGTAGTAATAATAATACTTATTTATTTTTATTGTGTATTTTTAGTCAGTATTTGTCACTGGAGGACACACACAAACACCTGGTTTAATAACTCGTCTTGAATATTCACTTCAATCAATCTTACCAACCACAACCAATTCATCAGTACAACCATTGCTTAAAATCATTCATGCTCAAAATCCTGTTCTTGATGCTTGGCATGGTGCTGCTCTATGGGCAAGATCTGAGGAATTTAAAAATTTTGTTGTGACAGAAAAAGAATATTTGGAGTGTGGTGGTGAATATATAAAAGAACATCGTTTTGGTAATATTTATAATAGAACTTGAGTTATAATAATAATAAAATAAGAGTTTACTAGGAAAAAAAAACTTGATCTTTTCTTTTCCTGCCTAATAATTAAAACTTTTTTTTGATGTTTTATTATAAAATTATATCAAATATTCCATATCTTTTTTTTCTTTTTGGAAGAAAAAGAACAAAAAAAGAATTTTTATTACAGCCAGACCTCCATAAATGCACCACCCCTTGGGACTGAGGCACAGTGTGCATTTATAAAGGGAGCAATTTCATTGGTTGCACGTGATATACAGAACACAAAAATTATTTTTACATTGATGTATCTTTAAATTTTATTAAACAATTTCACTTCACCAGCATTTTCTTGTTATAATAAAAACATATGTATGGATTAAAAGATTAAAAATAGCAATAGAGGAGAGTTTTGATTTTATTAATAATTAGGCATTGAAATCTTTGGTTTTCCCTTCATTTACTTATAACAATTCAACTGTATTCAAAAGTTCCTTATTTTAAGAATTCTTTGTATTTATTCATTGGAAATAAAATATTAATTAATTCTTTACAAATTATAAAGAAATTACAAAGCTATAATAATAATAAACAATTTTGTTGTAAAATTACAAAATTATATAATAAGAATAAATAATTTTATTGTAAAATTACAAAATTATATAATAAGAATAAATAATTGTACATTTCCCCAACATCACTTCCCCAACAGGACATTTCCCTGACAAATTTTTTCCTAATACATTGTCAGTGTTATTATAACATTTCTGGGTAATCTGTTTAAGTCTATCAAGCCATTTTTGTTGACCCATTTATTAGACAGCTAAATCTGTTGACCCATTTATTAGATGGCTAAATCTGTCAAACCTGTTTGTTAGACAGCTAAATCTGCCAAACCTGTTTAATTTGTTGACCCATTTGTTAAAAGCCTAAAATCTGTCAAACCTGTTTAATTTGTCAACCCATTTGCTAAAAGGCTAAATCTGTCAACCCATTTGTTAGACAGCTAAATCTGTCAATCTATTTACTAGCCATTTAATTTGTCAACCCATTTATTAACCTTGCAGTCAGTGAAAAAATTTGTTGAAGAAATGTCCTGTTGGGGAAATGGTTGTTGGGGAAACATATCAAAACCTATACCAAAATTCCTTGACTTTGACTATGAAATAACAAAGAAAATGAATTGTTTGTTTCTACATTAATATCACAAATACAAATTTATTTTTACACAAAAGTCACATGAATGCATTTGTGGAGGGAATTTTCATGAGTGGATTGAAAAAATATCATGCAGTGCAGAATATAGAGGGTGTGCATTTATCTCTAAGTCCCAAGGATGGGACTGAGACATAGCATGCATTTATGGAGGTCTGACTGTAATGCTAAAAAATTTTTTTTGCATATAAAATTTACAACATAATAAATACATTAATTATTTAATCTTACTTTATTTAAAGTAATATTATTATCAGTCAAACAATATGTCACAGGAAGTGTAATTACATATATAAAATAAAAAATCTGACTCATGTAACAAATCAGTTTTTTAAAATATCTCATTATTTTTATAACAAATACAAACATCATTATTAATTAAAAATAAAACTATGGTATTATAGCTTTCTAATGAGCCCTCTCCCATATTGATAGAGGCTCTCTACGTTAAGCTATGTTTATTCAAAAACAGCATTACTTTTTATTTCAAAGCTAAGATTT